GGGTGGGTGGGTTGGTGGAATGATGGATGGATGGATGGGTTGATAGATGGATGGATTGGTAAATGGATGGATGGATGGATGGATGGATGGATTGGAGGGTGGATGGATGGACCAACAGTTGGATGGAAGAATGAATGGGTGTGTGGAAAAACATGGAGGGGTGAGTGAGTTGATGTATGCATGAGTGTGTGAAAGGAAGGGTGAATGAATTGATGAGTGAGTGGAAGAGTGGGACGAATGGCTGACAAGGGGAAGGGGTAGCAGATATCATGCCACACAAGTCATCAAGGAAGGATATTCACTAGGCTGAGGAAGAAATGCAAGAAAAGGCAAGGCGATGGGAAAATGCTGTCAGTCCAGAGGAAGTCTTTCATTTGGAGAGCAGAAGAGAACTGAGAGAGTAGAATGGGTGTTCACGCTCAAGGCAGAGGGAAGGAAGAAGAGTGACCTCTTCAGACTGGAGACCACTGGGATAGTATTGGAGTAGCACTCCTCACTTGGATGACATCCTTGTTTTAAACAAACCCCCAAACATCTCTTTACTGATGCTCCTTCAGTCTGTCAGCTCAAGGATAGAAAAGAAGAGGAGTATGTAGCTCCTTACCCTATTTCTCAATCCAATGCTTCCTGGGAAACTTCACTATGTCACAGGCTGGTGGGTGCTTTAAAGGATGAACAGGGAAGCTCCAGAGGGATGACATTTTGGGATGGGAATAGCAGGAGTTCTAAGGACATCCCAAATGGAAGGCTCTACCAGGCTGTCTCTCTAGAATGGACCTACTGTCATTTTGTGCCCAAGTTTGACTCTGTACCATGTCCCCATTCCTGGGGTGCTATTCAATCTCAAATACCCAGACACACAAACCCTTCTGTCCTCCGATCCTCTCTGCCTTCCTTTGGAGATCTTCAGCCTGCCTTCTTCTCATCACCAGGATCCGAAAGGGGTGCTGAAAGCCAGCTTGGAATTGAAGGAGAAATGAGCAACCCTCGGCCATTGCAGGAGGTGGGCTGGGTGCAGGGGGAGGGGAGGAGGAGAACAGGGATGAGAGATGCTAAATGTTTCATGAAGAGTGGGAGGGATCAGTTATGATTGGTACTTGGAGCTACGGGGCACTTAGTGTTCAACCAGATGGCAAAAAAAAAAAAAAAAAAATCAGAGGGGCAACCCAAGGTGGAGAGAAATTAACAAAGCTGAAGCTCCTGTCACTATTGTACAGAGAAAGAAGCCCCACCTCCTCTTAAAAAAAAAAAGACATTTTGATCCCAGTATCCTTCTGTCTCAGATGCCGTAGATAGCACCTCAGTGTTAGCTTCAGAAACTCTGAGGTCTCTGCAAATGAGGAAGTCAAGGAGGAATATTCAGAATTCTCTCAGGAAGAATGGAGAGAGAGGCACAGCCACCAAACATGAGCCTGGAAGAGACCTCCAAAATCTCATACACTCTCATTGTCTCTCTGTTTGGAAACTGAGCCTCAGGGATTTGTCCAAGTTCACACTTGAACTGCAAGGTTGGGAAAAATGAAAAGAGAGAACCCTGTCCTCTGCAATTAAGCTGACTTCACATCAACTACAAATGAGTTTATCGTATAAGTATATTCCACGCAATATCGGGGATATATTTATACCAAAAACTTTTTGTTGGAATTTTGAGTATAACTGGACATCCTGTATTTCACCTGAGACCCGACCCCAGGCATCCTAGGAGGGTGTCTCCGGCTTCCCCTTAATCTCCTTTCCCTGGCTGATTTTTTTCACCCTTGGTCCAGGAGAGGTATGACATGTCAGGAGCCCGTCTGGCTCTGACGCTGTGCGTCACTAAAGCTCGGGAAGGTTCCGAGGCAGATTTGGATGCCTTGGAGCGCATGTTCCAGCAGCTGGGATTTGAGAGCACTGTGAAGAGAGACCCCACTGCCCAGGTATGTGACCACGTAGCCCAAAGTCTGGCCGGGAAGGGGTTGCACCACAAGGTGGGTGGGTTCTGGGGTTCTCCCTGAGCCAGCTCTTTGCTCTTTTGCTCCAGCAATTCCAGGAGGAGCTGGAGAAGTTCCAGCAGACCATAGATGCCTGGAAAGACCCGGTCAGTTGTGCCTTCGTGGTGCTCATGGCTCATGGGGATGAAGGCGTCCTCAAGGGAGAAGATGAGGAGATGGTCAAGCTGGAGGACCTCTTTGAGGTCCTCAACAACAAGAACTGCAAGGCCCTGAGAGCCAAACCCAAGGTGTACATCGTGCAGGCTTGCCGAGGAGGTGGGAACAGAGCCCGACCCGATCACAGACCTTGATCTCTTTCCCGTCTTTCTCTCTGACTTGCCTTTCCCTCCTTTTGGTGTTCAGAACACAGGGACCTTGGTGAGACAGTGGGTGAAGACCAGGTGATGATGATCACCAGAGACAGCCCCCAGACCATCCCCACGTACACAGACACACTCCACGTCTACTCCACAGTGGAGGGTAGGAGCTCCCAGCTGGCTCGGCTCCTCCCCCTCACCCACTGCTCCTGACTCCTGAATGTCTTCCCTAGCCCCATGCCCTGGAGCTCCCCCAAGCCCACCTCTGGATGTCTCTCAGGTTACATAGCCTACAGACATGACCAGGAGGGCTCCTGCTTCATCCAGACCCTGACCGACGTGTTCATGAACAGGACGGGCCCCATTCTGGAGCTTCTGACTGAGGTGAGCCCAGACAAAGCATCTGGAGACCAATCAAGGCCAAGCACAGAGTGAGTGGTGTGGGCTGAGCCTGCTCCTTCCCTTTCTCCCTCCCTTATGTACCCAACCCAACCTGGGATCCACCAAGAAACTAGGATGTCCATCTTCTAGCAGCAACTGGAAACCCAAAGAGAGTTTTGAGGAGCATTCTATGACAAAACCCTTGAATGGAACCAATGGTTGGACAGACTTTACTCTTCTAATGTTGATGTGTCTATCCAGTGAACTGGGGGAGGAATGTGTGTGTGTGTGTGTGATGTCCAATCAATGATTGCATAGAAACTATGACATAGGATGAGACCATAAAGCTCTCTCATCCTGGATCACGGGCACCCACCAGCCCCTGTTCTCCAGCCTTCTATACATAAGCCCACCCCCCAAGGGTCCAGACCCCTGAGCTAACCACACCCATTGCTGCAGGTGACCCGGCGGATGGCAGAAGCAGAGCTGTTCCAGGAAGGAAAAGCGAGGAAAGTGAACCCTGAAATCCAAAGCACCCTCCGAAAACGGCTCTATTTGCAGTAGAGGCAGGGAGAGGCTGAGCTTCAGATACTGAAGATACGGAGATCTTGCATCCCCTCCTCCCTAGACTTTGTGGTACCTAGTCCATCTTCCAACCTACAACACTTTTAGCCCTTTGATGAGCCTCTGTCCTTCTGAGAGAAAGTCAGCCAAATACAAGCCTGGGACATGACCGCAGCATTAACATCATCTCTCTCAGGCTGGATTCTCTACCTTGGTTAGTGCAACCTAGAGGACATTCTCAGATCCCACTTTCTGCTCCTCTCCTTGTCTTTCTCCTGGGAATAACCTGCACAAAAGAAACCACATAAAGTTCAAGGGTGTCCCCAGCAAAGCCAAGACTGCACACCACCTGCTAAACCACCTCACCCTTGCTGGCTCCTGCATCTCACCTGGAGCTGTCACCTCTTCCTGAACACATACCCATCCCCTTCTCCCAAATCCTGCCTATTCCAAGAGGCAAGAATCCTCCTCTCTCTGTCTCTCCATGACCTCTCTTCCTTGGCCAACAGCTGGATGCCCCAACACATTCTCCTTGGAATGACCTCATGTCCTCTCTAGATAACCCAGCTGCCCTGCCTCCTCCTGCTCTGGCTCTTTCCATCCTAATGCCTCTCCCCCAGCCACAAACCTGGACTCTGCATTCTACCCCAGAAAGGAGATCCAAAAAAAATCTCTTCTCACACTTGCAACTTCCAGCCACCTGGAACCATGTTGACACCATGGCCAGTCCCCTGGGATCCACTCATTCTTCGAAGGACACACAGTAGAGGCTCAGACAGGTTCAATCACTTCTCAAGAAACCACACAGTGAGACAGAGCAGGGCCAAGTCCTCACCTCCAGCCTAGCCTGCTTGGTCCATTAGAAAATGTCTTTCATTGGAAGAGCTGCCCAAGAGAAGTCTTTTCCAGAAGATGTGTAGATGTTCTCACTAGAACTCCAGCCAAGCTCACCTCTGGGAAATTTCAGCACCAGGCCAGGAGCTGGATCACAGACACTGTCTTCCATGTCTATGATCTGTGTCTCACCATCTCCAGCCCTGCTCTTTCCTGCTCAAAAGGCTGAAGCCACATCTGGCACCATAGCAACCTCATGGCAACCATTTCTCTTTCCTTCTCAGTCCCTCCTCCAATATTCCATGGAATCTTCAACCTCAGGCTCCAAGATGGGAATTCAGCTGTACCTTTGATTCCTCTCTCTTCCTGCACCCTTCATGCAACCCCAGTCACCATGCCCAACCGAGGGTGACACCCATACCTGTGTTCCCCCTTGAGTGTAACCCTTCAGATTCCAGGCTCCATCTTCCCAGATCTGCACCTCTGCACCCAAGGTCTCCCCTTGCCTCTCTTCCAACTTGTCTCAGTCCAATAAATCCTCCCCACCACCATCTCCCTGGAACACCCATGGAGACTCAATGGATCCCTGATATGCAGAGACCAAAGCCAAGCTCATTTATCCCGAGTTCTCACATCTTTCCAATCCCACCCCCTATCAACACTCAGCTAAATGCATCTCTCGGCTCCCCTACACTTGTTCACATTCCACCAAGCCAGCCGTCCTCTCCCCGCTCCCTCTCTCACTACTGTCCCTCACCCCTGCTTTCTGCAGAAAGTGATTCCTTCTACTTGATGCCTGTCTTCTGACTCAGGATCAAAATCCGTAATCTCCAGATCTAAAGGGCAGGGAATGAGACTGTGATCAACGTACTGAGTATTCAATAAAAGCTCATTAAGCTTTGAATTAATGTGTTTGAATCTTCATTCTGGGCTTCAACCATGGGGATAATGTGAAGGCAGTGATGGTTTTGGGTTCTTTTTCCTGAGGGCCAGCCGCCTCCCAGGTATGTCCATCACGAAGAGAGGATCAGGAGCCTCCTGCTGCCTCTATCATAAAGGCAGAGGTATAAGAGAATCTACACTTGATTGGGCATCTCTAGAATATTCCCAAGGAATCCTTCAGACACTCAACCACACTGTTTCAAAGCTATAAGGGCCTTGGAAATCAACTAGTTACAGGATTGCAAATATTTACCACGTGTGCTGCTCTCTCCATCCTGGTGCCCAGTGCAGACATGACTAATCAATCACACCATCTTTCCTACTAAACTCAGCTGTAACCTCACAGTGTTTCTCTTCTCAGCACCCAGGAAGCACAGACAGGTCATTCCCTGACCCAGGTGAACCCCTCATTGGCAAGTGACACCTGTGGGGACATTGTAAGTGGCAGACTCAGAGGTCTTAGGGCCGTGGTGGTGCCGTAGCCATGCAGTGATTGGAGCTTTATCCTTGGAAAGCTGAGAAGGTGGACAAGGCAGGGCTGGGGATGCAGGGCCAGGTAGCTGGGGTGACGCACACATCGAGTCCTGTGCTCCCATCCCTGTGCATCCCTATGGTCCATACACCCAGTTATTTTGGCATTTCACAAAACTGTGGTCCATTTGTCAAATCAGCCTGCAGCCTGTCTTTATAAAGTTTTATTGACACACAGTTGTGCATGCTTATTTACATACAGTGTGTGACCATTTTCTGCCTCCAGATTTGAGTCTTTATGACAGATAACACACACCCTGCAGGCTGAAAATACTTCCTTTTTAAAGATGTGTTCATTTATTTGACCAGGAGGTGACAGAGAGATCTTCCAACCTCTGGTGTACTACCCAGTAGACGCAATGGCTGGAACTGGTACAGACCATAGCCTGGAACCCAGAATTCAAAGCTGGGTCTCCCACGGGCCACTTGCAATGCCAGCATCTCACATCAGTGCTGGTTTGGGTCTCAGCAGCTGTGTTCTGATCCAGCTCCCTGCAAATGCACCTGGGAAAGCAGCAGAGGATGGCCCAAGTGCTTGGGCCCCTGCTCCCACATGGGAGACCTGGATGGGGTTCCTAGCCATTGAGGCCATTTGGGGAGTGAAACAGTGGATAGAAAATTTCTGGCTCGCTCGCTTGCTCGCTCGCTCTCTCTCTCTCCCTCTCTCTGCCTCTCCCTCTCTGTAACTCCGCCTTTCAAATACATAAATTAGTCTTTAAAACAATTTTTTATGGTTGGCTAATTGGATGACAGTTCCAAGCAAGACTCCACAGCAAACACACAAAAATACTCCCCAAGATTTGTAGAGTTCTCATTACCTAGACAACAGCACAGAGCTCCTTAATGACAAGTTCTAGCACATAACATGAGCATTCCTCACTGAAGCTGATTGGTTGAGTTTTCCCCTCACCAGATAGTGGGGAGGGGCCTATTTTTCTATCAGTGTGGTACTCCAGGTTGGACCCCAGAACAGAAGAAAAAAGCAAAAACAAAATAAGAACAATGAAGGAAAAACTACTCAGGTCTGCAGGCCGGACCCTGCAGAGGCCGTGGGAAAGGCCGCATGAAGGGGGCGGGCCCGGAGCCGCCCAGGAAAACGAAACCACAAGTCGCCAGGAAACGAAACCTACACGGTGGGCTGAGCACCCGGCAGCTTCCCGCCCTCACCCCGGCCCCCGGCCCCCTGCCCCAGCCCCAGTCCGATCCTCAGCCCCCGGCCCCGCAGCGCCATGTTTGGTTTTTTTTTTTTTTTTAAGATGCATTTATTTATTTGAAAGGCAGACTTATAAAGAGAGAAAGTTGAGACAGAGTGGGGGAGGGGAGGTGTTCTGTCCACTGGTTCACTCCCCAGAGGCTTGCAATGGCCAGAGCTACGCCAATCCGAAGTCAGGAGCCAGGAGCTCCTTCCCGGTCTCCCATGAAGGTGCAGGGGCCCAAGCACTTGGGCCATCTTTTACTGCTTTCCCAGGTGCATTAGCAGAGAGCTGGATCAGAAGTGGAGCTGTCGGGACTCAAACCGGCACCCATATGGGATGCCGGCACTGCAAGTGGTGCCTTAATCCTCTGTGCCATGGCACCGGCTCCCAGAGTTCAGTTTTGTTTTTAAAGGAAGTAGATAAATTTAGCGGGTTTTTTTTTTTTTCGAAAATGCCATGACCACAGGCTAACAATGAGAAAAATAGACTCAAATTGAAGGCCGTTCTGTAAAATACCTAATCAGTGCTGTTGAACACAGCCACAGTTGTAAAAAATTAAATGCAAATTGGAAGCCGTTAAGGAAACAAAATGACTGGAAAAAGACATTTGTAGAAAAACAAGAGACAGCTGAATGAAGTCCAGAGTTGAGCTGGTCGTCCTTTCTTTTATCATCGATGTGTGCGTTTGAGAGATACAGATATTTCACCCACTGGTTCACTCCCTCAAATGCCCACAACAGCCGGGACCCAGCCAGGCAGAAGCCAGGAGGTGGGAACTCCATCCAGGTCTCCCTGTGGGTGGCAGGGACTCAACTTGCCTGAGCCCTCACCTGCTGCCTCCCAGGGTGCACGTTAGCAGGAAGCTGGAATCCGGAGCACTCAGATGCGGGACTGGGACACCTTAAGTGACAGGCGACAGTCCTGTCCACAGTTAGTGCTCCTTGGTCAGTGTTGGTTCTAACAAGTGCATGTTAACATCAAAGGAAGCTGGATGAAGGGTGGACAAGAACTAGGTGTATGGGCTGACACAGTGGTGTATTGGGTGAAGCCACTGCCTACAGTGCCAGCATCGCACATGGGCACTGGTTCAAGTCCCGGCTGCTCCACTTCTAATCCAGCTCTCTGCTATTGCGCCTGGGAAAGCAGCAGAAGATGGCCCAAGTGCTTGGGCCCCTGTACCTGCATGGGAGACCCAGGAAAAGCTCCTGGCTTCTGTCTTTGAATCGGCACAGCTCCAGCCATTGCAGCCATTTAGGGAATGAACCAGGGGATGGAAGACCTCTCTCTCTTTGTCTCTCCCTCTCTCTGTCTGGAACTCTACCTCTCAAATTATTAAATAAATCTCTTTTTAAAAGTTTATTAAGACAAGCAAAAAATAATAATAACTGGGTTTTTTGTTGTTGTTGTTGCCCTCCTATCACCCTGATTGCAACAGGTCTTCATCATCATCGGTTGCAAAGTAGGGCAATCAGAGCCGGAGCATCTAACCCATGTAAATGGGTCTGTGTGTTGTAATGTGGTGCTATTAGAATACAATGCAATTCCCGACTGGCAAATCATACATTCTGATATTATGCCTGCCTTGCTTTTGCTCCTGGCATGTGGGGTTAGAACTCTCTGGGCTCAAGGATGCCTGTCATTCAAGCACTGTGCTCTATCCTTCTTGGGTAGAAGTTTCAGGCAAGCTAGATCTGCCTTTGGACAGATGCCTGGTGAGGGGCGGCTGGGAGGAGGGAGGGAACAGACGCTGTGCATTTCCTAAGCAAACTCTCCCACTCAGCACTATCCCCAGGGACTCTGCTGCAGAGCAGGGTGACACCAGCATCCGTGGGAAGACGGAATGAGCCCACATCTTGTCTCAACCACACAACCGTAGGGCGTGTGTCCTGGCTGACTGTGCATGTGCCCTGGGAGGTCTCTGCAGGCCACGCCCACCACTGGCCTTTTTCATGCAGCATCACTATTTTTTTTGAAAGGCAGAGCTACAGACAGACAGATCTTCCATCCACTGCTTCCATCCGCTCCCCAAATGGCTGCAATGGCCAGAGCTGAGCAGATCTGAAGCCAGCAGCTTCTTCCAGGTCTCCCACAAGGGTGCAGCAGCCCAAAGACTTGGGCTATTTTCTACTGCTTTCCCAGGCCAGGGAGAGAGCTGGATTGGAAGAGGAGCAGCGGCGTCTTTACCCACTACACCACAGTGTTGACCCTCAGGCATTTTTCAAAAGAAGAAATCAAAATGGCAAACAGACACAAGAAAAATTGCTCAGAATCACTAGCCATCAGGGAAATGCAGATCAAAACCACAATGAGGTTTCACCTCACCCCGGTTAGAATGGGTTTCACACAGAAATCAACAACAACAACAACAACAAAACGGATGCTGGCGAGGATGTGGGAGGAAAGGTACCCTAATCCACTCTTGGTGGGAATGCAAACTGGTGCAGCCACTGTGGAAGGCACTATGGAGTAAGCAGGATTCTAACCAGCACTCTGATAGGAGACTCAGGTGTGGTTGGCTGGCGCCGAGGCTCAATAGGCTAATCCTGCGCCGGCACACCGGGTCGGGGCGCCAGATTCTGTCCCGGTTGCTCCTCTTCCAGGCCAGCTCTCTGCTGTGGCCAGGGAGTGCAGTGGAGGATGGCCCAGGTCCTTGGGCCCTGCACCCCATGGGAGACCAGGAAAAGCACCTGGCTCCTGCCTTCGGATCAGCGCGATGAGCCGGCCACAGCGTGCCAGCCGCGGTGGCCATTGGAGGGTGAACCAACAGCAAAAGGAAGACCTTTATCTCTGTCTCTCTCTCTCTCTCACTGTCTACTCTGCCTGTCAAAAATAAAAAAAAAAGACTCAGGTGTGGCCACAGCCCTGCCACCCCCCCCCCAAGCTTCAGACGTCCCCCTCGAACGAGTCACACCAGGAATGTCCCTGTTCATCAGCCTTCAGAGAAATGCAAACCACTCCAGCCCTGCAGGTGCCTCTCAAAGCCTTCCCAGGATGGCTTGGAGATTTATGAGCCGACAATAAAACCTTGGAATTCACCAGCTGTAAAATTGTTCTCTCCTTGGGGCGCTGTAGCATAGCGGGTAAAGCTGCTGCCTGCAGTGCTAGCATCCCATATGGGCACTGGTTCAAATCCCAGCTGCTCCATTTCCAATCCAGCTCTCTGCTATGGCCTGGGAAAGCAGTAGAAGATGGCCCAAGTTCTTGGGCCTCTACACCCATCTGGAAAACCCAGATG